CTTTCTTTCTTTCTTTCTTTCTTTCTTTCTTTCTTTCTTTCTTTCTTCAACTTCAAATTCTACTTCCAAGCTACAGAAATACAAAGAGCTGGTAAAAGAACAGACACACTGATCAATGGAATGAAAATGAAGATTCAGACATAATTCATTCACCTATGCCCACTTGATTATTGGTAAAGAAGCTAAAGATATACAATCAACAACAATAAAAACATCTTCTTCACCACATGGTGCTGATCAAACTGAGTATCTGCATGTCAAAGAATCTAAATAGACCATAGTTGCAACTATACATAAAACTCTTTGATCACCTGCCCCTGAGGGGGGAGCCAGCCTGCTTTGTTATAGTGCCCAAACCATCAGTCTAGGGGTGAAACGACCCACAAAGGGCTGACTTCCCTCATCAGTCACTCATTAAGAAGATGTCTTATAGCTGAATCTTACAGAGGCATTTTCTCACTTAAGGTTCCCTCCATTCAGATAACTCTAGTTTGTGTGTCAAGCTGACACAGGAGCAGCCATGACACCAACTGAGACATTTGGACTTCCCCACCCAGGCACCTGTCCTAAGAGATGCAGAATCGATGTCCAGATCCTAGTTTGAGAGGCTGTTATATCGTACCACCAGATCCTTCTTCACCATTGAGACACCCTGTCCTCCAGCCACCAGAGGATGTCCACCAGCCACTCAGCTGAGTTCCTCACTGAGAAGTACCCTAGGAAGTGTCCTATGGTCCCAGTCCTTCCATGGGTTAGCTCAGAGCCAATGGGGAAGCAGCCCAGGACAGAGGCCCTGACTCCTCAATTCGAAGTAGGATGTTTCTGATGAGTATCTTAGCTCCACAACTTTCCAGAGAACAAACCTCTACTGTGACTGTTGCAACCCAACTCTTCCCCAGTGCGTGAGAGTCCTAAAGTATCACCCCAACAAACCTCTGCACCCAAGTCTCAGCAGCTCTGCCTCCCAGGGTACCCAACCTAAGGCCACAGTGTGCTACTGCCACAAGGACTCTGGGTGGGACTGGCCACCCCAACAGGCAACAGTCAGAGGGAAAGCTAGGCACTGGATGGAAAGCAGGTAAACTTTGCCCAAGTGCTCCTGGGGAGAACGCCCCAGCACCCAAGAGTCTGTGCTGTGCCAGAAGAAGATTTGCCTGGAAACCTGAAGGCTTGGAATCCTGGTTTTGTCTCAAGCGACATGACCTTCAGCAAACTGCTTAGCCTCTCTGGGCCTCACTTAACTGAAAAATGGGCCAACATCCCTTGGATGGGAGTGAGAAAGACTTCCATAAGCTTGGAAATGTCCCTGTAAAGCTGTGCGATAAATGCTGATGTCTTCTCATGCTCTGGCCACACCCACATCTTCCAGGCCAGAGAACAGAAGGTAACAAATCTGAAAACGCCAACTGGCTAGGGTCCCTGAGTGGAGAAAAGTTAGTATCCCTGGGCTTCCCAGGTGAGGCTTCCTGGAAGCAAACTGGGGGAGACAGGAAGCTGTAAGAACAAGGGGGTTATGAGAATAACGACAGAGTTGGGCCCTACACCTAAGCTCTTACTGGGGATGGCGTGAAGAAGCTGTCTGCAGCCCAGCCACTGGGGGGTCTTCGTAACACGATAACTGTCTTTCTTCTTCCCTAGGTTACTGCCCAGCCTTGAGGTCAGTGCTTAGCAAATGCTTACAGGGTGAGTGGCTGAGTGAGTTTTTGTCTTTTACCCTACAAAGCTGTGGTCCTAAGAAGGAAAGGTAAATGCCTTCTGGGTTAGCTCTTTGAAGAAGGGCTTGTTACAGCAGGCCAGGCCTGTCCCTTCCTGTCCAGGGCACCGTGCATTGTCTGTGAGCCTCATTCTCCTACACCAGCCCTGGGAAAGCTGTGGCCCTATTGTTTGCGCGGTCGCACCTAACATAATTACCTTCTTGGCATCAACCTGGCTGCACTTCTGACTCTGGAGGGGCTGAGAAGTCACTGTAGAAACTGCGGCCAGAAACAACCTGAAATAGTTATGCTCTATGGATGGTTCAGAAAAGTTGCCAGTTAAGAATGGAGGCCTTCTTCAAAAGGTGGCCATTCCATGGGAAGTCTTGATGCCACAGCCAGCATGGTCTGCAACCCTGCCCTGCCAGTCCCCCCCCTTTCACTAGGCAGCTGTCCTTGGCCCTGCGCTCCCCTGGACACCTCTCAGTAATACATTGGAGGGGAACTGCATTTTGATTTTACAAGTGGGGGGAAAACCGAAGCTCTGAGAAAGCAGATGATTGGCCCCTACATGGTAGGTGTGGCCGAAGGACTGGACTACACTGGACTACAAGGTCTGGCTACATTGAAGGTTCAGTGGGAAGGAGGCTGTGGCTTTGAAGACAATGCAACATGAGTCATATCCACTCAGTCACATGTGGCTTCGGTTAACAGGGCCCCCGGCACATCAGAAAGGACCTGCTGGCCAGGACTCTGCAAGGGTGCCTTTCCTGGGGGCAGAGGGAGCAGCTCACTGGAAGCCAGCTTCCCCAAAGTTGTTGCACAGGACAGGGCTCCATTCAGAGGGGTGTAATTCAACAAATGAGAACCTGGCTTTCAGCGTCCCCGGGACACAGACTAACAGTGACACCCGAGTCCTTGCCACAGAGCACCAAGGGCTCTCAGGCCTTGCAGCTTCAACTCCCCAGCTCAGCACAGGCCACACCATCAGCACAGGTCACACCATCAGCCTAGGGAACTAGAGGGATGAGTGTCTTCGGAAGAATTCTCTCTAGAAAGAGTAGTGTAGAAATGAATTCAATTCACATTATCATGATAACAAAACTTTGGGGAAATAAGAGACAGTGTGTTGGAGGCCTGTGGTTATTACAAAAAGTGAAAAACTGCTCCTTAAAAACAAACAAAAACTAAAAAAGGAAAGATTGCCTGATAGAGACTACAAAGATGAAACGCAAACCTGTCCTGGCAACTTCCTTTTGACACAGGAAGAGAAGCTTCTGTTTCCTGGGCATCTCTCCACCAAGTGAGATTCACTGGTACATGAGTCAGGAGAGAACACTGAGATGCCGGTCCCAGGGAGTCAGAGCTTTATCCCCCGCTGTCTGCAGATGCTCCAGCTTCACGGCTGAATGCTGGCAGTGTCTCCTGCAGCCTCTGACCACCACCAACTTCCCCAGTGACCCAGTGAACTGCCACGCTCACCTCGCTGTTTCCCCAAACCTTCTGTCTTTGCCGTGCCAGGCCATCACTTAGTTCTCCATCTTTTATGCTTAACACCAACTGAAGTTAATTAATTGACTTTTCCGACCTCCGCCTGCCCCTTAAGAATGAAGCCTGGGGGCTGGGTGTGTGGCTCAGGAGGTGAAGTGTCCTGAATGTGGGTCCCCAGCACCCACACGCACAGCCAGGCACAGTGGCACACTCCTGTAACCTCAGCATGGAGAGATGAGTGGGAGGATCCCACACCCTTGCTGGCCAGCCCGTCTGGCTGAAATGGCAAGTCTGGGTTTAATGAGGCTCTTTCTCAGAAAACAGCATGAAGAGTTTTAAAGGAAGATGCCGGATGTTTACTTCTGACCTACAAACCTGCCTGCGTGCGTGTGCGCACACACACGCACAAAGAGTGAAATGGACGGCCACCTCCTTCATTCCTGGATCACCAGTACCAGCTCCCAGTAAACCTTTATAAGTATTTTAAGGCTATTTCTGTTTTCATAAACAAGCAGGATTGAGCTGACAGTTCAAAAAATTCGGCTTTTTCACACCCAGTTTGGTTTGTACATGGAGCTGCCTCTACTGTCTAAGATATCTTGATATGAAAACACCCAGCTGCTGCTTCATTGAGGCAATTGTCCACCTATTCATGTCCCTGTCCAACTATCTTGGGGCCTCACTGGTCATCTGGCAGAATGCCCAGCCTCATGAGCATTATGTCTAAGGGGGCAGAAAGGAAGCAAACGCTGATGAGATAGAATTCAGGTACCTCATGATGGGCTTGGGAAAAGTCTGCAGAGCAAACCCCACCTAATGAGTGGCTTGGACTTCAGGCTTCTGGATGGGGCTTGCAGGGTCCACTGTGGTGAGTAACTGGCTTCCCGAGGGAGCAGCAGCTGCTGTCTGAGCGAGCATGTGCCCCATGGGATAGCTGAGGTGGGGCATCAGCCCACAGATCGTTTGGCACAGTTTCAAGCCTGCGTTGAAGAATCAGGCTGGAGGATTCCTAGAGCCTGTGCATCGATCATTGTGGACAGGTGGGAGCTTGGGATCACCACTATTGTTGAGATCAGTTGAGTCTACAAGAAGCCACCCTTCCCAGGTAACAGCCGCTCTCTGGAGTCCTACCTGAAACCTGTGCTGCTGCGTAAGGAACACGGGGAACAACTGTCCCCAAAATGTGTACCATGGTTGTTTTTCCTCCCCCTGATCAAAGCAAGTCTCCAACAAAAGGGGTATAATTAAAAAGAAAAAGCCTTATGTAACAAGGTTTAAAAGAAAACTTTTGAAGCCAACAAGCTGCTATGGGCAGTACTTCAAAGGGCCCAGAATCAATGTTTGTCAATAGCAGTTTGGCATTCTTTAATTTAGCTTTCATGAATATAAAGTGTGATGTTATTAGGGCCCAGCCGTGCCTTAGTTCTGGTTGAGATTAGATCAGAAACCTATCAGTAATCTCAGAAGTGGCAGAGGTTCTTGCCTGATCTGGAGCTCTTTGTCCCATGGCAAAGACCCCAGTCACCCATCAGACCTACAGTGCTGAACACCCCACCGCCTACCGCACCCACAAGCCATGGGGTTCTTTATTTTAGCCGCTATCTTTGGAGACTTTTTTTCCACAGAAGACAAGGCACCCCTTGACTCTGCCCAACCCCCAAGTTACCATTTGTTTAATCAAGATAGTTGGTTTGCAAAACATTAAACAGTATTTGATGCCTAGTTAATAATTTGCATCCTCTTCATTTGTTCCGGAATCCTCAGAGACTGACATCCCTGCCTCCACCCCCAAAGGCACAGACAAGAACAGAAATTGCAGGCAAAGTCAACCCAGAGGCCTTCACCTGCAAGGATATTTGTCAGGATGCTGAAGCTCCATGTTCTGCTGCTAATTGCCCTGGTGGGGAAGTCATCCATTGGGGTAAGTAGTCACTTCACATTTCTATAGTTGAGAGACTTGGAGGGTTTTAACAAAAAAAATCAAACCATCTGGGTTAGAAGCAAGGAAAAGCTGAAACTGGGAAAGACTGGTTGTTGCCTGTTGAGTGTGTCCTGGCTACTAGAGCTTCCAGACTATACCACAGACTTCTGAGCAGCCAGTCTTGCAGTGGCATGTGGAGGGCACGAGCCTCTCATAGCAGAGTCTTGGTGAGTTTGTTCCAGCAGAGGTGGCTAGGGCACACAGAACTCTAAAGTATGGGTAAAATCTGGCATGCACCCCACAGAATCCTTTGAGGAGTTGTGGAAAGCTACACACTCTGTTCCTAGGAAAATAGCTAAGGCCCAGCCATCGCACACATCTCAGATTACCCAGCCATTGGGCTGAGACTAAGAAAAGGACCCCCCCACACACACACACAGCTCTGGGCCTCAGGGGCATACCCTGGTGGCTCAGCAAAAGATTTAGTTGGCTGCCTTAGATCTGAGGAGAGGTCCTGTGCTTGGTACTTGTTCTTCTTTTTCAGTCAATGCTGCAGGGAAGAGAGCCAGGGCCCAAGGGAGTTTGTGGTGAGCCAGAAAGGGAAATGCTATAGAAGGCTTTGACCAGGGGCCTGAGACCTTTGGGGATGCTGCCAGTCTGTGCATCTTTGAGGCGAAGCTGTCAATGGTGTCTCCATACTAGCTATAGACTGAGGCTTGAGTGCTGAGCCTTGGATCCAGTAGCAGTCTTGATTTTGTTTCAGCATAACTTTGGAATATAGGCCATAATAATCTTTCTCGAGCCTCCAAGGAATCACCAACAACCAACTGCTCATTTGGTAAAGGTCATGGAGACAAAAGGTTGTGTGTATGGCTTCCAATAAATGTGGGCTCTTTTTGCTTTTGTTTTTCTTTATGGTGCAGCTGATAAAAACCAAGATCTTTATAGTGTGTGCTAGACAAACTCTTTACTAGCCAAATCTAGTGTCAGCTCTGTTCATGGATAACATGACAACATCCAGAATGAGTGTAATAGCCCTTTTGATGAAGAAACACAGAAGAGAGTAGGGAGAAGATGAGAGTCATTGTAAACTTTTTTTTTTCAAGACAGGGGTTCTCTGTGTAGTCCTGGCTGTCCTGGACTCAATTTGTAGACCAGGCTAGCCTTAAACTCAGAGATCTGCCTGCTGAGTGCTAGGATTAAAGGTGTACACCACTCATACCTAGCAACTTCTTAAGCACTTTTGAGTTGTATTTCTCTTTTGGGGTGTTTCCTGAGGGAATGAAATTAAACTATAGCTTTGCTCATTAGCATGTTCATAAGAATGGTTTTGCCTCTCCTTTCATTCCACTAACTTAACTCAGACACCTTCCTCAGTCCCAGATTCAGTTGCCAAGTGTCTTCTTTAAAAATAATTTTTTTCCGAATTATGAGGTGGGTGGGTATGGTGGCTGCAGTTATGATGGCTATCAGTCTTGTAATTTCTTGGTGGGCACTTCAAGAAGAGGCTAAGAAAGAGCAGCTATCTCACAGGTGTACCAAAAGGCAGTGGCAGTTACCCGAGGCCGAGAGAAAACACCAGTGGGAGGCATTTAGGTTTGCAGGCAGGAAGAGTTGACACCATCTGTTTGATCACGAAAGGAGCCCCTAACCCTCCCCCACAGCATGTGTTTTGTCAGATCCAGGGAATTTTTAGGGTTATCAGTATAACTGTAAGTCAACAGTGGATAAAAGAGGGCAATGGGCGTAGTCAATCCCAAAGAGAGGCCTCGAAGCTTTCGAATTTTTTCTTACCCATATGTGCCAAACAGGTGGCTGGGAAGTCTTTCTGTGTTCCATGGGCTGGCACACTGCGTCTAGGGCAAAGTAGCCAAGCTGGATACTTGGGAGGGTTTCAGGCTTCAGGGGACAAACCCACATAGTCTGATGGACTGAGGGGCCTTTTCCACATACATAGCTAAAAATAACAACCAGTTGTCTCTTAGCACTCAGGAGGTTGAGGCAGGAGGATTGTAAATTCCAGGTCAGTCTTGGCTATCTTATGAGCTACACAGGCCAGCTTGGCCTGCTCAGCCACATCCTGTATCAACGATACAACAATACTAATGAACTGACAGCACACAATCGAGTCAGTGCTAACCCTTAAGTTTGCTATGGACTGGTTCGCTGCCAAAAGGGGCCCAAGTCATAGATCCTGTGACCGCTGCCATTTTACACATAGGGAACTAGACAGCATGACCCCAAGTCCCTTAGCTGGGAAATGACAGAGTTTATACCGCTAGAAGGTAGCCTGGGTCCCTAAGCACAAGACCTCCTGGTGTGTATGGTATTAGGAGCCATGTTCTTACTGGGGCAAAGGTCATTTGCAGGGTAGAGGGTGATGGTTCCATGTGCCTCTGCAGCTGAAAGAATAGGGTCTTAGCATCAGCGCTCGCCCAAGAGGGTCATCTCATCAGAGACTGCCCTTTACAAAGCATTTTATCATCATCTTCTTCAACATGTGTGTGTGGACTGAAGGACATCCTGTGGGGATCAGATATCTCCTTCCTTGCTGCGGGTTCTGAGGATTGAGCTCATGTCATCAGGCTTGCTAACGAGCACCTTTACCTAGTAAGCATCTCCCTGGCCTCTGCTGAGATTTTACCTAGAAACTCACTCAGATACCATGGCAGGGAACTGCAGGAGTTCCTCATAAGCCATCACATCTGGTCTAGACTGGTTTGTGCATACCTAGTGTTCAAATCATTCTGAGGGTCCATCCCAGCAGAGCTGTGTGACAGTATTCCTGCTCTCCAGGAGTCGCCAGACTCTCGAGTGCCAGGCCTGAGACAGAGTCTGTCTGACCCCCACCTTACAGAAAGACTGCTCAAGAGTCAGACCAGGGACTGCCTTCAGCACTGATTCTGAGAGGGTTTGGGGAGCGCCCTAGGCTTGAGCACCATGAAATTTTACCTCTTCCAGAATGAGAGAATAATGCTTGTCAGTACTGTCCTGCTTCAGCCAAGATGGTGGTTTCTCCTGTCCTGCACAAAAGGGTCATATGGCTGAAATGCCTGTTTGCTTACTTCTCTGTAGTACTTGACTCTCCCTAGACACTGAACCACAGAAATGACCGTGTAGACAGGAGATTGCAAATTGGGAGCTTGGAGTACATTCTTCTGCTCACAGCCTGGTTTTGCTTGTCATGGGGAAGGTCAGCCCACAGTGCGTTCTCTTTGTCTCTTTGTTGCCAGGCAGCATTTAAGAAGCAGAACATCTCAAATGGAGATAAGATCTCCAAGGTTTCATAAAAATTGCATATTCTGGTAACAGTGAGCACACACCTCTGTGAGGACTGTGAAGGGCGGTCTGAAGGATCACCAAACTATATCTTCATCATTTTATTGGCAGGGAGAGAGGGAGAAGGAGGGAGAGAGGAAGGAAGAAAGGGAGGGAGGGAGAGGTGAGGACAAACACACAGACAGAGGCGGAGACAGAGAGATGGGAGAAAGACATTGTATAGTTTTTGCTCAAACCACAGATAGTGAAGTATTAATGCCAGTTTGGAGTAAGCAGATGCCCAGTCTCAGCACTCAGATTCACATGAACCCCAGGGAAGAACCCGGGAGTCCCCCTTTGTGAAACCCCAACACCCCAGAATACTGTCTCTCTCATGTCCAGGGGTCCTCTCTTCTCCAACCCAGGCAAAGACTTCTGGAAAAAGGAAGAGATTGAATTCCACTGCAATGTCTCATAAATTTAAGGAGGGAAAAAGAAAAAACTTGATTGTAAGCAGGAGTCCGACTCATTAGCTTTGCAGTGTACACTGGTATTTAGGGAAATCAGGTCGCTGAAGTCACATGTGTATGTAAGCACAGATATATTTATATTCTCAATGCATTAGGGCTTCTTAAATGCAAAAGAAATTCTGCTGTCATAGAGAAACAGCGTGGCAGAAAACTCAGCAGCCGGGATTTTAAATAAAACATGCTTTCTCTTCATAATTAATATAACAAGGTTTCTTGGCTTAGGGTTTGGCAAAGATCCCAGGGAAAAACGGTGAGGGGGGTACTGACGTGACATGCCTATGACTGACCCCACAAACGAGTTCCTGGAAGACCTTGTGTTGAGAGGCCTCTCCTGGGCCTGCCCCTCCCACACTGGGCACCAAGCAATTGGAAAGTAATAGCAATAAAATAGACTCGTTGGCACTGATGTCTCAGCAGTCCTCCTGTCTATTTATTGACTTTGACCACATATGTCTTGTGGTTTGAACTTCCTGACAAGCCTATGAGGTAGGGCAGCCATCACTGATATCATTGATAATGAAGCAAGCTACAGAGATGAGGCCAGCCTGTCCAAGATGGCACCCACGGAGGGCCAGCGAGCTGCACTCAAACTCATCTACCCAAAGCCAATTTCTATGCTTGCAGCCAAGGTGGCATGGGTGGTCACACCAGGCTCTACCAAAAGACCACAGGTCTGCTTGATGTAGAACCGGGGTATCAGGCTAGAGTATGGCCACTGAGTCCTGCTTCCCCTGAGGCTTCCGCCAGGTTCACCCTGGCAGCTTCCTTTCAGGCTTCACTTCCTGTCTCAAAATAATCAGTCTTTCCAGGCAACTAAGTAATTAGACTTCAGTCACAGCTGAATCCACTTCAGAAATTCCACTATAGCCTAAGCTGATTCTTAATACTTGTATTAAATAAATTCACCTTTACCTAATTTATTATTATTATTTATTACTTGTTTCTACTTTAATTGCTTATTTTCATTGCTTTTTTGTGTGTCTCTCTCTGTGTTCCCATGCACATGTGTACATGAGTGTGCACGCATGTGGAGGCAGGAGCTGGTGTGGGATATCTCCTGTCACGGTCCGTCTTTTTTTCTTTTCTTTTCTGAAACAGGGTCTCCTGGGTAGCTGGAACTCACTAAGTAGCCCAGGCTAGCCTAGAAATCAGAGGTCTACCTGCCTCTGCTTCCCAAATGCCAGAATTAAAATGTGCTACCACACCTCGCTTCCACCTTATTTTTGAGACAGGGTCTCTCCAAATCTGGGGCTCTCCTACTCAGCTAAGCTGTCTGCCTGCAAGCTCCAGGGACCCACCTGTTTCCACCACACATACACAATATGCCTGAATTTCTGTGTGGGTTCCTAGGAACTGAATCCATGTCTTTAAGCAAATACTTGACTGACTAAAACCATTTCTGCAAACCAGGGACTCCCTGTAACTGAGGAAGCCGAAGCAAGGAGACAATCAGTAGCTGCCCAGGAAAGAGATGAGCCCCAGTTTCCTGGGCCTGAGAGAACTGGCTGCGGTTCAGCCACATCTGACGTCAACTTCTGGCCTCTGCAGACATGTCTACTCATGTATACACACACACACACACACACACACACACACACACACACACACGAGAGAGAGAGAGAGAGAGAGAGAGAGAGAGAGAGAGAGAGAGAGAGAGAAATAACAAAAATAAGGGCAAAGGTCAGAGTCAGCAGGCCCTGGTTGAAATGCACTCTCTGGCCCAGCTGCACCCATGGATCCCACAGGCCCCAGCTCTTCACAGGGTGGCTTTGCACTGCAGTGTGGAAACCAGTGACAAGCTGGAAGTGACTCCAGAGACGCTCCCTTCCTCCCTGCCCCAGCCCTGCCCACTTCTGCCTGCTGCTGTCACATGAAGCCATTCTCAGGGAGCTAGGCAGGGAGCCCAGTGGGACAACTTTGGGTCTTGTAGCATGGGGACTGCTTGGAGTCACTCTGAGCCAGGAACAGAGGTTACCTAAAACTAGGGGACCTGAGCTGAAGTGCCCCACAGGAAGTCTTCCACAAGCCACTTCCCTGGTGTCAGACTCTTCACTTGTAAATGAAGTCTAGTCTAGCCCCATCCCCCCATAGAGCGCTTCCCCCAGGTCTCCAGGAACGAAGCCATTTGCACAGACTACTCACCAGGACCTTCTTCTGGGGCACCCACTCCCCAAGAGCCTTTCCTGCCTTACCTAAGCATGAAGTCACAGCCACACTGAGCCTACCAACTGAGGCAGCGCTAGCCCATTCAGGATGAGCTGAGATCCCTTGAGAGTAAAGAAGAGAGCAACAGCGCTTCTCAACAGTCCCAGCAGCTATGGTTCCTCCAGTGGAGAACAACAAGTGCGGTTTGGATGTGAAGTGCACCCCAGGCCCGCTGGCTCAGTTTGGTCCCTTGGTCCCAAGTGGTGATACTATTTTGGGCTCTAGCTGGTTGATATGGGTCACTAGAGGCAGCCATCAAAGGTCATAGTTCAGCACTGCTCCTGCCCTAGTATCTCCACTCTCTGCTCCTCCTGGGATACAAACAAACCGTGTGGCAAGATCATGTCACCACAGTTACTGATGCACCAGCCATCCTGATGGACTGTGCCCCTGACCCAGTGAGCAAGGCCAAACCTTCCTCCTTTAGATCTCTTGGCAGTATTGGCCACAGTGATGTCAATGTAATGAATACAAGTGTTGAGGGTGCGAGGAGCTGGACCCTCACAGTCACTGGTGGGTGAGCGTGAGATGATGCATCAGTGGGAAACAGCACAGCAGACCTCGAGAAACGAAGACAGGCCTGCGAGCTGAACACATCATTCCAGACGAACCGAGAGCAGGGAGTGTGTCAATAGGACGTCAGAATTTAGAGCTGGAGTAGAGTTTCTAAGTCCAGGGCTATAGATTCTCTTGAGAGGCAGTCATGCTCAGCCCTTAAAGAAAGACGCGCTGTTTAAATCCCACTGAAACCAGGAGTGGAGCAGAGAGAGAGCTGGGCAGCGATTTGCACTCCTTCCGATTGACAAAGATGTTTCTTGAGATGTGTTCACCACAGTGGACTAACTGAGATGCCCTTTTACGCTCTCCCCAGCTACCACTGTGGCCACGTGGCTCCTACTGCCACTTCCTGGGCCTAGACCCCTCTGGATAGAACTGTAATAAAATATCCCAATAACAGGGGCTTTGGTCCTTTCACCTCACTCCAAATGTGCCTCTTCAAGAGCAAGGAGCGATTCTGTCTCCTCTGTGCTGGCCACTTTCTGTCAGCTTGACAAAACTAAAGTCACCTGTGAGGATTGTCGATTGATGTGGGAGGCCTGGCTTACCATGACGGTGTCACGGTTGGGCAGATGATCCAGGAAAGCATAGTAACTGAATGTGAGCCTGAGAGCGAGCCAGCGAGCAGCGCTTTCCATGGCTTCTGCCTCTGCTCCCGCAATGACAGACTGCAAAGGGGGCATGCAGCACAAGTCGGCTCTTTCTTCTCCCACGCAGCCCTTGGTCATAATATTTACCACAGCAAGAGCATCGAACCAGTGTGGTCTCCACCCTTCCACTGCAATGTGGGCATGCTGGGGCCCCTCGCCCCTCTGCCACGGTGGCTGGGAACAAGAACTCTGACGGAAAGTGAGTGCTCACATTACAAGTCTCTGTTAACACTTTCAGGTAAATTGATAATTATAGTATTGGAATGATTGAGTGCTTTGGAGACTAAGAAAGACAATGTGTATGGGCCACGCTTGTCACAGTCCCTGACTCACTGTCAGCGCTTAGTGGTTCAACAGAGAACTCCATTTTTTTACTTGTTCCTTGGCTACTCCCCCCTCCCCCAACACACACACCACTCCTTCCTCTAATTTTCATCTTTGGATTCTCAAGCCCCAGGAGTAGGGGCTCTTCTATTACTCCCTGTCTGTGGAAAAGCAGAATAGAATTATGGATAGAAGGATGCCAGCCAGGTGTGGGGCTGCCTCCATCTGGCGCCACAGCCTCTCTGTAAGTAGAAATGGGGTCTTAATGTGAGTGCACAGTCATTGCAAGGGGTGGAGGGCTGTCCAAAGGGCCCAGCTAGCCCTGCTGCGAAGCCTCTGCTATCTCTAGTGTAGATTCCCTCTGCAACCATGCCTAGGAAGGACATGTGTGCCACCTGCTGGCTGCAGGCAGCACAGCAGCCGCTATCCGTTAGGCTCTTTGTGTGGCCAAGATTTGAGACTCTTAATTAACTCTGGCACAAGACTGTCTCTCCTGTCCTGCCACTGCTCAGGGCTGGCAACAGATCAGGGAGGGGTGCAGGCCCTGGCTGTTCTTAGAGTGAGGTTGAAGGAGACAACACTCCGCCAGGGACTTCCAGCCTTTCTTGTAGCACCTCGCTACCTCTCTCAGATGCTCCCCATTTCCTGGGCCTAAGAATACCCTTTTGTCCCCCTTACCCTCCTCCAGAGAAGTATGTGCCCCTGTCTCATTCCCTATAAAACAGGGCTGTGACACCATGGGGTAATTAAACAGAGGCGCAGTCTCAGAGAACAGAAACCATTTCCTTCTTTCCTTTACCCCTTTCTCTCTGGGCTTCATCTAACTCATCAAACTTACAGGCGAAGCATAGAGTAGAGAAGTCTCCTTTCCAGCCTGGTCTCTGTCAATCCCAGACTTGTTCTCATTTTCCCCAACATCTGTTTTATTTGTTTCTTTGTCATTTTCAAGGAGAGCAGACATCACCCTAACCCAACTCTGAAGACATTGTCCCCCAGAAGCGAAATGTCCCCATCCACTCTCAGTGACAGCATGATCCTATCTAATGCATCTATACTTAAATTCCCCAGTGACCTCAACAGTGCCCTAACCCAGCGTCACACACTGCTCTGACCTGTCCACTTCTTAGCCTAGGATAGCCCTCCGTCTTCTTGCTCTTAGCCTAGGCTAGCCCCCGTCTTCTTGCTCTTCGGGCACTGTCATTTCAGTGGCATCAAGCAGGGTGTTATACAGAAGGGTGTCCTGTGGTTTGGACAGTAGAGTGGAGATCTGCTCCATCCTTAGGCTACATTTCTGTTTATTGATGCCGCGTCCTCACCATGCCTTATTTAGGCCTGTTCTTTCCACTCTGTCTAACACAGCATGTGCCCAGTCCCCATGATGGTTCAGCAGAAAACTACAGCCTGAGCGGGGAGCTATCATGGGGAGCTATCACAAGGATCTACATTTGAGCCCTAGCATCCACGTGAAAAGTGGAGTGTGGTAGTGTGTGCTTGGAATCCCAGCTTAGAGGAGCTGAGGGGGAAAGATCACTGGACCTTTTTGGCCATCCATCCTAGCCCACTTGTCCAGTTCCAAGCCCACAGAGACCCTGTCAAAGAAAAAAAAAGAGAATGACCTTTAAGGAATGACACAAAGAAGCCTTTGGCTTCCACATGTGTGCACACAAGCACACCCGTGCCCATGCCTGCAGATGGCCCACATGTGTTCACCTGCACACTGGGGCACATGTGGCAGTGAGAGGCACTTCCACTACATAGCACACATACATGCACATATGTGTATGCACATACATATGGACATACACACATTTGCATGCATATATGTACACACACACACAACCATGAAGAAATGACTGGAGATGAGGTCTCGCTGTACTGACAGAGCCTCTGTACTGAGACTTGTCAAGAGCATGAAAAGGGTGTCGGGTAGAGGGAACCATCCATGCAGACTTGGGGTGGGAGGAGCTTGGTTTGCCCTGTGTTCAGCCAGCTGTGGCAGCTGCTCTCTAGAGGCAGCGGAAGGGAAGAGCATGGGAAGAGGGTTGCACGTCAAGGCAGGTGTTTGTATTTTATCCCAAGGACACTGGGGAACCTCCAGAGTGTTTTAAACATTTGTCCATTCCCAATCTACAGGGCAGTCATCCCAAGAATCACTTAGGCTTGAGCATGAATCTAAAGTATTTTCCTCTGGGAATGGGGTTGTCATGGGAACAGAATACAACCACACCATTCATGGTCAGGGAGCAACTGACAAGTTGATATTGGGGCAGATCCCAGGGATGCTGTGTTCCAACAGGTGTGTGAGAGACATGTGTCTGCAGAGTGGCAGGGTCAAGATGTGTGCACAGGAGACGGAGCATCCTCAGCGAGACTCCCAGCATACCTGTGTCTGGGAAGTAGGGATTTCTGGCATCTGGGGAAGGTGCCAGCAGCTCTGTCAGATACTCACTGTGTTGTTTTTCTTTTCAGTTCTCACTGATGCCCATCATTGCGCCCCCAGACCCAGGTGAGTGTGCCCTCCCCCTAGCTTCCAGCCAAGAGCCAGAGCATAGAAGCACTGAAGGGACCTTGTGTCTCAGCTGGTTCCAGGGCATCACAGGAACCTCTGAGGATCTGTCCAGAAACACTGCAGCTGGATAACACCCGCACAGCCTTGAGTTGCAGGTCTCAGCCACCTAAAGGAGAAACCTCAACTGTGGCTAAACACTCTGATTTCACAGAGAAAGACACTGAGGCCTAGATGAGGGAAGTAACTGGCTCCTGTCCATGAGCGACTGAGGAGAGAAACGATGTGACTGAGCAAGAGGCCACCCTAATTACCCCATTCCCCATAGGGAGGCCAAGACAGACCCTGGACAGGCAGCGCCAGGATGCGTTACCCCAGGGATGCCCCCCGCCCTGACCACTGCCTCCACTACTGTAGCTGGGCTTACTGTGCCTGGAAAACCCACAGGAAGTCTCGGGTTAACAGTAAGGCACACAGCACTGAGAAGTAGACCTAAGACAGACACCGTGTCTAGCATTGGCTCGGTGTTGAGACGGCATTCAAACTGGACATGTGGGGTGCACCTGTAATCCCAACATGGGGGAGATGGACGTGAGAGGATCAGAAGTTCCTGGCAGGCTTCACCTACATAGCAAGTTTGAGGCCGGCCTAGACTACAAGAGACCCTGTCTCAAAACAAAAAAGCAAAACAACAAAACGAAACAAAAACAACCACAACCCCACAAAATGATTGCATCAAAGCAGACTGTGCCGTGTAGTATCAGACGCACCCAGTGGACAGGGCTATTTCTCACAGGCTCTCTGTCTCTCTGACACTCACCCTGTCACCTTGAACCCTTTGTTTCCACTGCCTAGTGCTCATACCACAGTGGGCCAAACAGCATACCACTGTTTGCCAAGCTCTGAGTTTGGGGTAGAAACTCATCTCACAACTCCAGGGGACTGAAGGCAGGTATCCCCACAGGTAAGGGATGACGCTGGTCATGCCCAGAAGACCAGAGCAGGCAGCCTGTGCATGGAGATGGCAGATGTGATTCAAGCTTGCATCAAGATCTCAGGCAGAACAAAGATGGTACCCACCAGCCAAATCCTGATCACTGTTACTGTTCTCCAGAAAAGTGTTCTGGATGGGCACATAGACTGTGGCAGTGACCCACACCTTTGTCCCAGTGCTTGGGAACAGAACAGAATCGTGACCATGGACTGTAGAGGGACGCTGCATCTTTCTCCAGAGCAAGGCAGGGAAGCCCGACTGTCCAGCATGCTCCAGTTCCAACTCCAGGCATGCATAGAGTTCAGAGAGAGGCCAAGGCCAAGGCTGAAAGGGCCATCATTTCTCCAGCCTCAAGAACATGTTGCTCAGACATCAGCAAAGGATTCTTGGACTTGAGAGGTCAGAAAGACAATAAGACATAACTCGTTGCTAAGGGGTTCCACAGAGAAAAAAACAGGGGCATAGAGGGAACCTCGGTGCCAAGTGTCTAGAAATGTCTTTATGGGCCAGGAATGGATAAACTGCATGCTTGGAAGCATGAGAAGTGGACCAGAGCCCTTGCAAATGCTAGGTGGGCAAGGCAGCCCTCTGTAATTCTCACCTTGGAAGACAGAGGAGACAGGGATCCCTAGGACAAGCCAGCCAGCGAGACTGTCTGCAGCAGTGACCTCTGGGTTTGGTGAAGAGACACCGCTTCGGTGAGCAAAATGGAAGAGTCACTCTGGATGATCCCTCATATCCTCCACATGTATATATACATTCCCCACAGATGGGCAAAAACGCACATATACACACATGTGTGTTACACCTGTAAAACACACACACATGAAAATGAAAAAAATTTTCAAGAGGCATCTTCACCACAAGCCACTTTGCTGCTGTGTTCCAGAACATTGAATACAATGTCTCCAGGGAGTTGATGACATGGGGAGTTACACAATGATCAAAAAACAAAGGAAAGAGGGGATTCCAGATGACAAAGCCTAGTGTCAGACTGTCTGTCTGACCTACAGACAGGAAGAATTTCCTACCATTAGAATATCCAGAACGTGCATGGGCTCGTGGGCTCGCTGTGACCACCCCGTCTCCGAGGCATTTAAGACAAAGACATAAGTTGGGAATCAGCTCAGAGGGAAGTGGACAGTGTAAGACTTAGTACGCCGAGACGCTGAACTCCACAGGAAGTCTGCAGGAGCTTCTGGGAGCTAGGGGAGGAAGGGAAGCAGGCTGGCCCTGGGGCAATGTCCAGATGCTCTACTGGCCTCTGGCTGTGGAGTGAGGAAGCGAGAATTAAAGCATATCCTTGCCTGGTTCCATTGCACGAGGGGCTGTTCTTTGATGAAATTCATCAGCTCCATACTCCCTTCAGACAGCAGCATGGTGGAGAGACCCCCCGTTCATGCCCTTAGGCAAACTGCTTCCTTGGTTGGTCTTAGTGGTGCCAGGACATGGCAAGGACTTTGCTGGAGCAGAAGGCGCCTGGTCCCCAGTCTCCAGTGGGTGATAGAGAAGGTGGTCATCAAACGACACACGTCTGCCCATCTCCCCAAAGCAGGTGACACACAGCCGGCAGGCCTGCGGAAACACATCTTCAAAGCTGGCTTGGCTCTGCCCAGCACCACAGGCTGTGCCCATCCATCAGCTGTCCTGCCGCCTGCCAGCCAGGCTCTCAGCTGCGTGTGCCTGCCAGCGGGGCTGGAAATGTCACATGCAGGCCGACAGGGCTGGGGTTTTGGGAAGGCCTCAGAGGAGCCAGCTATGGCACGGTGATGGATGAAGCCAACCGGGATGACATTCCAGGGATTTTCATTCCTTTCCACACATCTGGCAAGGTCCTTTAGCAGAGCAGCTGTGAAGTTCCCACGGCACCACCTGTGAGTTCTTTCCACAGGAACCTGGAGAGGTTTGAGGGCCCTGTGCTAGCTGAAGGTTTCCGGGTGCAGACCACTTCCTGAATGCCAAATGGCCAAAGTCTTTCTGACCTGGACCCCAGAGATGCCAGGCTCATGAAAAGGCTCCTGGGACTCAGATGAGGCTGGGTGTGGACAGCCTTCTGCCTGGGTGTTTTGGTCTGAGTGACAACTGCCTTCCCCACAGAGCTTGACAGTTACAGAGAGCATCTGACACACAGAAAATACTTATAAGGACTAACCTACCGCTGGAAGTATTTGTGTTGATTCAGGATACCCTACCAGTCTTCATGGTTATTTCTAGCTAGGTTTGATAAAGCAGCAAGGCCCTAGGATTCCTTTTTATTCCTAATATAAAATGCTTGTGAGAGCCATTCTTTCTTCCCAAGGTTTTCCTGTTTTCAGCAGTTCAGAGGAGGTCTCAAGTAATCTGAATTTGAACCCAAAACAGTCTTTGTATGTGTGCATGTATGTTTATGGATGCCAGAGGGAAACCTCAGGCATAGTCACTCTGTGTGTGTGCATGCCTGTGTGTGTATGACATGATGTACATGCATGTCCATGTGTTTGTGAATGCACGTGCATTCATGGCGTCATGCTGGAGCTAAGAGGATGACCTCTGGAGTCACTCATTGCTCTCCACCTTGCTTGAGTCTCACATTCACTGCCACACAGGCCAGCCTACCCGACACACAATTTTCTGAGGATTTTGAGATGGGTCTCTCATAGGTCTGGAACTCAACAGTGGGCAACCCAGCTCGTCAGTGGGCTCCAGGCATCATACTGACTCTGCCTCCCCGGCACTAGGATTGTAAGTCTGCGGACCTCAACCCCTGCTTTTTAAATGTGGGTTCTGGAGGTTGAATTCAATTCCCTTCCTTCCAAGGAAGGCGCTTTACAACTATCTCTCCCAAGCTGCTTTCTCCAGCATGTCAGAATGTCAGGCAACTTTCCCTTTCCACCAAGAAAACAGACAATTTTATAAACTTGTACAGAGCTCATTGGATTTTTTTAGAAAACACAAATCTCACCCATTTTCTTCCTAAGGTCCCCACTCATGCTGCTTCAAGCGAGGCCAGTTAGAAGGTAGGAAGGCTTGCTCACAGGGAAAATCATCTGTCACATGTGGTAACTAACTTCACGGAGGGCCCTGTGCTATGGGGAAGACAGAACTGATTAGGTCCCAAAGAGAAAGAAAGGGGTGCCGGGTAAGACGCCCATGTTCTGTATCAACAAGACTAGAGAGGAAGCCTGCTTCTTAACACCCCAATCCATGAGCAACCCAGCATCAATCAAGCTCCGTTTATCTGCTGTTGTTATCCTAAACAGGGCAATAACCGTGTATTTAGGTATTAATTCCTGGGTAGCCGCTTAGTCTGGGTTCCGCTGGACAGTTTTTCTGGTCTAGACCAGGTTTAGCTGCTCTGATCTGGACCCCTGCATCTTCAGCCGATTAGAGGTTGCTCAGGCATCTCGTTTTGCTATTGGCTGGCTTTCTCATGTCTGAGACCTTATCTGGGCATGACCAGATGTGACAAAACATGACCCATGTGACAAAACAGGCCAGACTCTTTCCATGGGAGTTGGAAGAGCCCAGGAAAGTGGGCAAAAAGGAACAAGAGAGAAGGAGGAAGGAAGGTGAGGGGAAGAAGAAGGGGAGAACAATGAGGTTTCGGGGCCAGTGTCAGAGCAGGTACATTGCTTCAAGCATAAATGCTGATGCACGCCCCCAAGTCACCCAGAACCGAGAGGTGGGAAATGACGAACTGGGATGTCCTGCTACAGAGTAGAGAGATGCGTGGACAGTGGAGAACTGGGGCACCATGGCACCAGATCGGCTCAAACATCCAATACTGAAAGTAAAGACAGTGGCTTCCACGCGCCACGCCCAGCTTCTCTTCCTCTACTCCACTTTCCGTCTCCTCACTGTGCTTTCCTCCTCAAGGCTGTTCAGACTCAAGAGTCCTCTAGGACAAGGCCATATCCCACTCTTGTTGGTATAATTTTATAATGCTCTGTGGCCCCCAACGCCTTCCACAACCTGGCCTAACACTTCATCCACTGAAGGTTTGCTATGCCCTGCCATACACATGGTGCAATGGAGTGTCAGCATTACAGAAGAGGGTCTGCCCAGATGGAAGGGCTTGGTAGCATCCTTGTGCAGCCCCTAACCGAATGGCTTCTTCTTCCCTGGTGATCTGGAACCACCAAGCCTTTGCTGAGTCCATTTCAACCTGGGGCCCTCACAAGCTGCAGGGACTTCCTGTCATGCTCTGAAGAAGTTGGTCTACGCGCTTTCCTTCCTCAGCTCACTAAGAAATGAGCAGACCTTGTACCTAGGACTAGCCTGAAGTCCAAATTCCACAGCAGGCATTTTGTACATCCTTCATCACCTCAAAACGTCACAATACTCTGTATGTGTAAGCATCTTGTCTATTTCACATGAATTTGTGTGTGTGTGGCAAATACATGTTTACAGGTTTGTGCATTTTGAGTGATTTTTATATGTGTGGGTCTGTGTGCATGTACTTGTATGTACAGGTACACACACACATTTGTGTTTGCATATATATATATATATATATATATATATATATATATATATATATATACACACACAAAGATAGAGGACCGAGGTTAATGGCAGTGTCTTCCTCTATCACTCGCCATATTTTTTTTTCAATAAGGTCTCCCATTGGACATAAACCTCACAATTCGGCAAGAGTAGGTGCTGGGCAGTGAGCTCCAGGGCTCTCCAACCTCCAGTCCTCCCCTCACTAGGATTCCAGGCATGGGTCAGCATGTTTTCCTATGTGCACAAGTGGTAAATATCTGAATCCAGGTCTCCAGCCTTTACAGAAAGCGCTTCACCAGTGGAGCCATCTCTCTAACCACAAAATGGAGGTTGGAGCAAGAATCCTTAAAACATAGTCAAGAGTAGCCAATCTGTCCTCCGATTTGTGGGTATATTGAAAGGGGTCTATGAGTTCCCAAGAGACTGTCATCTGTAGACACCATAAGAAAAACAGAAATAAGCCCTGCAATGAAAACAGAGACAGATCAATGTTGCAATCAACTCTCTGTCTCCTTCAAATGTCAGTTTGAAATCCTTCATGGCCAATGCGGAAAAACATCTTTCTCTCACCTACCCCCTCCTTTTCTCTACTTTATTTATGGATGGAAACTTTATTGCTCCAGGAAGACTGTGGTCTTATCTTCAATCTAGATCCTCATCCCTGGAAAGGTGGCCTCCTCTGGGAACATTTTCTGAGTGGGGAAAAGCAGCCAGGGAGAAATAATGAGCAAGCAAAGAAAGTCTTGACTTGACACTGTGATAAATGAGGTAAAACTTTGCCAAAGAACCAGAGTTGGCGTATTCCAAAAAAGAAATAAAAAGAAAATTCCACTTTTAATGGGAAATATAAAACAGCCATTGTGCAAAAGTCGATTTTTCGGAAGCCACAGATATAAAGACTACATAACAGAATGCTGGGGCGATGTGTGAGCAGCGCGCTTGGTAATCAGGCTTGGATAGAAAGTGGCCCTCTTCGCCATCCTGCCTCTGTTGGGTTGCCTTTCAAGTCCAGTGACTGCATTTGTTCCTGCCTCATTATCATATGTCTCTCTGGAGAGCTTCCTCTGCCAACTTGCCATCCTCACATCAGCTGGAAAGAGCAAAATGAACTCAACTTTCTCCCAATCCCAAACTTCCCTCCAGCAGCTGCAGAGCATCCGGCGTCCATATCACCAAGAGCTCGTGTTCAGACATAACTGAACTTTCCATCTGTGGGTGTCGCTGCACTCTGTCCCCTTTGGTAACCAAGGTCCAAGAACAACCTGACTGCTGTATGTGCTGGCTGTTAAGTAGCAGCCTAGACATTCAGTGGGCTTGGCTTGGTTGGCTAAGTGTGCAAATGGAAAGTGAGAGAGCCAATTAAAGCAATGGAGCACTGTCATTGAACTAGAAAGACACGATGGTTGTGCTGAGACAAACTTCAGTAGTTTAAATCTGGCTGTGAATTAGCTATGGGACCTTGGGCACATTGCTTATCCTCTCTGGGCCTCAGATTCCACAATGTATGGCCCAGCCAACATACAGTTCCAGATTCTTTTTTTTTTTTTTTTTTTTTTTTTTTTTTTATTGGGCGGCAGAGAAACATCTTGTGTACTCCAGTCTGACCTCAGACTCCCTCTGCAGCCAGTGACGGCTGGAACATCTGATCTGTTTCACCTTTATCTCCTAAATTCTGATGTGATAGTGTTAATTGTCAACATGACAACTTTCTTAACCCGACTGGGATGCAAGCTTCCAGACACACCTGTGATGGGCACGCCAGTGAAGGAGGATGCTGATTGGGTTCATAGAGGAGAGCGACACCATTGTCTGGCTCTAGACCTAGACTGTCTAAAACTGAGAAAGTGAGCGGAGCACGAGTATTCATTCATCCCTCTGTTCCTCCTGATTGGGGATCCAATGAGACCAGTGTTTCAGGCTCCTGCTGCCTTGACCATGGCAGACTGTGCCCCTAACCTGTGTGCCAGAATAAACTGTCCCTTCCTCAAGCTGAAGTTGTTGGGGTGTCTTTATTTCATGACACATCAAAGGAAAACTAAGACAGTTGGGATTATAGTGTACACTACCACAGCTGTTTTGTACAGGACTGAGATGGAATCTAGTGCTTCCGGCATATGAAGACAGGCACTCTACCAACCAAGCTGCAGCCCTGGCCCTGCTTCCCAGACTTCCATGAGGTTGAATGAGACAGGCCCAGTCAAAGTGCAGTAAATATTAGGGGTTGAATGCGCTGTAGATGCAACTGAGAGATGTTTGACCAAAGAGGGAAGTGACAAGTGACTTCACTAAGCTAGGCTGCTAACGAAGTCTCACAGGGAACTACTCTGTCACTCACTGTGACAGAAGCATGTGCCCTCTCCCTGGCAGGCCCTATGTAGATCTGTGAGGACCTGGGGACCACAGGGTGCTCCCTGCTGTTCAGAGCTGAGAAGCCTAGCATGGAGAATAAACAGGCCTACCCAAGGCCTCACTTAGTGGAAGCTTGGGACTTGGTCTCCTTCTCCATCTCTAGATAGGCCTACCATGACAAATACCAGCACAGCCTCACTGAACCTCAGCACCTCCCAAATTAAACATCACCCAGCTTGAAGCCCCTGTCTTCCTGTGTCACTGGGGAGAGCTGAAAAGATATGTAATGAATGCCTCCTTAAAGAGATTGCACTCTCTGAGGAGAGGTGGTCCCCTGAAGCAAGGCTGACTTCCTCAGGCCTAACAGCTAGGTGTCTTCTGTCCTGTTCCTGCCCCGCAGATTGGACTCCTGATGACTATTACTACAGCTACGAGCATTCCGGCCCAGATGAAGACCCCAGCGTCACACCGACCTCCCTCGAGAACCCTGACTGGTACTATGCAGACGATGGTGGGTGCCAATCCAGAGGGAGGGACCGTGATGGAAGGAACTTATGTGTGGCCATATTCAAGGGCCTTTCTCCTCTTCTCTCTGGCCTGCATGGTAAAATGGTCATTTAAGAGCATTAGAGACCAGCTCTGCCCCTGACACACACACACTCGTATCGAGCACTACACCTCTATAACAGGGAAGACGCTTAGAAGCATCTCTCTACCTCAACGAGTAAGTGAAGTGAGGGAGGGCAAAGAGAGGAACAGACTCCACCAAGGTCTCGCAGTCAGGCACCGCTGTGTCATCAGGCTCTCCTGACACCGCAAAACTCAAGTTCAATATCCGTTCTGTATCTTTGACCTCAAACTAAGTCTGAACTATGCAAAGAATCTGAATCAGCTTTGAGCATTTAGACTGCAACACTGACAAGTCTGGCTCTGGGGCTTCCTTCGCTTTCCATCTCAGCCCCCTTTCCCTCTGTTTGCTATTTACCGTCTGTGTGCCTGTGTACATTCGTGTGTATGTGTAAGTCTGTGTGTATGTTAGATGCGTTTGTATATGTGTGCATAGAAAGGCCAGCAGGCAGCCTCTGATGCTCTTCCTCAGGAAATCCACCTGCTTTTGAGGCTGGGCCTCTCACCGGCCTGGGCCTACACTGATTAAATGGTGTGGGCCTCAATGTCCTGCCTGTTGCTACCTCCTGGGGGCTGGGGTTACAAGGATTTGCTGCCACGCCCAGCCTTTTATTCAGCATCTTTCCACAGTTGTAAGCATATATATATTAACAACTAACAACAGTTATATACTAACTGTTGTTATATATAATATAACAATATATAATATAATATAATATAATATAATATAATATAATATAATATAATATAATATAATATAATATAATATAATATAATATAATATAATATAATATAATATAATATAATATAATATAATATAATATAATATAATATAATATACATAACATAATATAATACTAACAACAGTTGTTAGTGTATATATGTTTGTGTGTGTGCTTGTACATTTGTGTGTATGTATGTGTATGTGTGGGGGTGGTTGTATACATGTGTATGTATATGTGAGTGTGGTTGTGTGTATATTTGTGTATTTATGAGTGTGGTGTGTGCATATGTGTTTGTAAAATGTGAGTGTGGTTGTGTGTAATATATGTGACTGTGTTTGTGTGTGCCTATATATTTTAATGTAGTTACTTATGTATATGTGAGTGTGTTTGTGTGTGTGTGTATGTTAGTGTAGTTGTATGCATGTGTATGTATTCACACACTTGGTTTTTGGTTTATGGCTCCTTACACTGACCAATAGGATGGAAAGTGAAATAAGAAGCTAGATCCAGGCAAAGCCATGTGACTGAGCCGAGAGAAAGCATGGAAAGCACTTAGCAGCTGGCATAAAAGCTGTGTTACTGCAAAGTGGCCTGGAAGGCAGGGCCAAGATACAGGGCGCCAGGGGAACATCAGAAGAGGCCATCAAAACAGGAGCCAGGCCCCAGGATCCTACTTCCTGAACCAAAGAACAATGAGTGTGAGCGAAGGACAAAGAATTCCCCAAGGGAAGATCCATTCAGACAACCATGAAACAGCCAAAGGCACAGATGAAATATGACAAAATCTAACTGAACAAGGAGTTGAAGAAAGATGAAGGCCACTGGGTCATTTTCTCTGTCACCCTCTTGCCTTTGCTCTTCTTTCCTGATGTTCAGAGAGCCTGTGTTTCGTGAGGGGTGGGTTAGCTTTGCATGCTTCTGCCTGACCTCCACCCCTTGGCACTGGAAGTAGGGGAGGTCTTCAGGCTTGTGAAATGCCTCCAGCATCAGAGACAGAGCCCAAAGTGCTCCCGGCGAGGTGGGAGGAGAACAACACACACAAGAGGACGGGGACTTTCCCAGTGAGAAGGCCCAGTCCAGAGCAGAGCTGAGGGACACAGTCACAATTGTGTCTGCCTGCCTCCCCTCTTACTCACCTGCATTCCTCTCCCCGGGCATGTGACTGCAGTTGTCCTTGATCTTGGAGGATGATACATGTTTTTCTCTTTGTCCAAGCAACAGTGCTATTGTTAATGTCTGGTTTGGGGCAGGAGAGCGACACTAGGTTAAAAGTGGGGCTTCTCTTTGGATTCCCCTTCTCTGACCTTGACTTCTGCCTTTGTGTCTTAGATCCATGCCAGTCCAACCCCTGTGAACACGGTGGGGCCTGTGTCATCAGAGGGGACACCTTCAGCTGCAACTGCCCAGCCCCCTTCTCGGGGAGCCGCTGTCAGACTGGTGAGTGCATTTCTTTGCATTCCCACTTCCCTTGGGGTTCACCCTGAAGCCTCCTGCCTTCATTCAAAGCTGGTGGGGAAGCACCAGGTGACCCTGGGACAAAGACCATCATACAAGGTGGTCTTGGGCTCTGCGTCACAGGTGGCGTCTGTGTGTATACTGCCCCCAGTGCTGTGACATGGGGCCCAAGGCTCCACTCTTCAGAGAAGAATGTCAAGGCTGACAGAGGGTGAGAGACAGCATGTAACCCAAATATGGCCCAAACTGGGAAATTTGCTTTTAGACTATGTACAGCAGAGAAATACAATCTTCAAATGGGCTTGTCTCAGGGCACATAAGGCCCAGTTTGAGGTGAGGTGGAGGGAACTGCAGAGGTGCCCTGACTGCACGGCTGGTTAAAATGTAAGCAGAAGTCAGAGCCACAAGCCTGACTCCTGGGCTCTTTCTTCCCACTACCCTCCTGGTGTCTACCTTTAGAACTCCTTCAGGGCTGTATAATACTGAGAGCAAAGACACAGGAAGAAAAACGTGTAGGTGATTTCACCCCTGGCGAGGAGATGGCTTTGGTCAAATCGAGGGTCATCTCCTGGGATGAAAGAAAGTGAAAAGGTTGTGATAAATGCAGAGAGCTTCATCGTCGGCCTCTCGCCTTTGTGTTCTTCCCCCTTGTTACTTCCGTCTTGGCCTTACGGTCCTTCAGTGAATGGCTGGGGCGGTTGAGGTTTTGGGTACACGCAGCGTTTGGGTCGCCCGTCTCCTCACCTCGCAGGAGAATGACCAAAGGGGGGAAACCAAATACACAAATCAGAGAGGCAGAAATCACAACTGCTTGGTGAAGGTGTGAACCGCCATCAAAGCGTCTGTGAGGATGGAGAATTAAGGCTGTGAGTACTGGATGGAAGGCAGGCAGCACCAGCCAGGACCCATGGGTAAGAGAGAAACATTGTTCTGGAGCAGCTGGCCTTTCAGGACTGTGGACAAAGCCGCAGACTCAGGAATCCTGCCCCACCTCCAAAACTGGGCTAAGCCAGCATCCCTCGAAGTCAGCTGTGCCCCGAAAATGTCTCGCCCTCATTCTCTGCTTCTCTGTGTATCCCATACAGCACGAAACAAGTGCAAGGATAACCCCTGTGGCAAGGGTGAATGCCTCCTTACCCGGGAGCCTCCCTACTACCACTGTGTCTGCAAATACCCGTACACAGGGCCAGAGTGTTCCAAAGGTGAGTGGCAGGGGCGCTTCCAAGCAGAACGCTTTCACTGCAGGAACTGTGTCCGTGATGTCTGCACCTTACTGTACAGACGTGGAAGTGTGTCTGAAGTTTATGTGGAGTCCAGGATTCTCCTCTTCATTAGGATTAAAAAAAAGAATGGATCCTCCCTGGAGAACTCAGGAGAATTCACTAATCTGTATTCTTACACATAAGCACAGACACACACACACACACACACACACACACATATACACTGACACATGCACACACATACATACATAGACACATGCACATACACAAACATACACACCTTGGAAGTTAATTCCTTCAGGAAGTAGGCACTGATCTCTTCCTAAGATGGGTTGTGAGGGGAAGTTACACATGGAGTTACTGCTGTGAGCAGGACACTATCCCAAGAGAGTTAGTCCACTCGAGGCGCAAAAGAAATTCATAGGCCTTAACTTGCCCACAGTCCCACAGCTCTCAAAGTCCACAGACAGTTTCCACCTGGCTCAGACTATCTGAAAACATCTGTCTGTGCCTCTGGCTACTTCTTATTCTGGGTCCCAGTCACACATCTTTTTATCTGGGGGAGGGGGTTGTTTGTTTTGGTTGTTCTACTGCATGGCCTCCATCCATGCTGCTCTATGTTTCAGGCTTCTGTGACATTTGCCATTCAGTGGCCTATCATTTAGGAAAGGATGACCCCAGAAGAGGACCATCACCTGTGGGTGCTAGACCTCTTCCTAACATGCCCTCCAGGCCCCACCTCCCATTTTCACAGTGCTTCCAGCGTGCAAGCCAAACCCCTGCCAGAATGGTGGTGTCTGCTCCCGGCACAGACGGCGGTCCCGGTTTAGCTGTTCCTGTCCAGACCAGTACAGCGGGAGATTCTGTGAAATAGGTATGCATCTTTGCTACCGCACCTTCGAGGACTCTGGGACAAGAAAGGCCCCATCCAGTGTCTCCTAAGCTCATGGCTTCCCAAGCTCTGCTCCACCTCCCTCTTAAAACCTCAGAGCACAGAGCCTGTCCAGCTCCCTGCAAGGAGGCGACGGCACGGGGTGGGGTGCAGCAAATCTACCGTCCGCCCGGACCATACCAGGGCCCCTGGCACCACCCCCTCAGCTGGAGGGTTTTTGTATTTTTAATTCTGGTTGAATGTGGAACATTCTGGAGCTTTGGGATGAAACCCAGTTCCCTGACCCATTAGCTACCCCGAGAACCCGTGCTGAGGACAGTGTGTCCGAGATTGACAGTTCTCATAGGTGGCCTGCTCTCTCCGAGGTCCGAGTGACTGCTATGTTGGTGACGGCTATTCTTACCGAGGCAAAGTGAGTAGGACAGTCAACCAGAACCCGTGCCTTTACTGGAACTCCCACCTCCTCTTGCAGGAGAATTACAACACGTTTATGGAGGATGCTGAGACACACGGGATTGCAGATCACAACTTTTGCAGGTACAAATCACCATCTCCAGTAGGCTCCATCTTGGTTGCCTGATTTTGAAACCAATTTCGAGTAAACAGCCTTTCTGAACAGGAAATCATCCTACTCGGGGTAGGCAAGGTTATGCTATGTAACAACAAAAGCTCTGTTTGTCTCAGGGGCTCAGATATATCAAAGTTCATTTCTTACTAATGCTACATGAGCCGTGTGGGTGAGGTGATGATGGTGGAGAATTCAGTTCCACAGAGGTTTGCAAATACCCAGGAAGGGTTAAAAAAAAAACTAACTAAGAAGTGACACATTATTTTCCACACAAATTTGAATTTTGTGGCAGAAGTAGCCACATGAGGCCACATAACATCAAGAGAGAGGCTGCAAAGCAAAGGGACCTGACTCCCCAGTGCTATCTGCAGGCCAGCTGCTGAGGGCCTGGATCTCCCTTTTGCCTGACCAAGGCCAGTGACTTAGGTGGTTGGCACTGCAAAGTGAGGGTGTTTGTGCTTGGCATGGGCCGGCGCCACGAGCAGGAACATCTTCTTTGCACACGACACTATTTCTAGCCTCATCCTGCTCGCTGTGAGCTGCCTTCTTGTGGAGCTGTCTTAATGGAGAAACCCCTTGAGAGCTTCTCAAAGGATTCTCATGCCTGTGGTTCAGAGGTTGGAGCTGGGGTCCCAGCCTTCATCATGTCTGTCTGTCTGTCTGTAATACTTTTCTAAACACAGTGAGTGGGGATCTTCAGTAGGAATCTCACTTCTCCATAAAAGGCTTCATGTCTTCCATGGTCCAACACAAGGGTTGGAAACTACTTCCTTGTCCTTGGGATTCTCCTCTGGAAGTTAAGATTTTGGCAAAATCTGTAAGCATGCTTGTGTGCCAAGGTTTGCTACCCCTTGAGGATTAGAATGAAGAAGCCGGGCAGTGTGAGCACTGGGTATCCCCTGACCCAGGGTGCTTCCATGATGTTAAGGCCTCCACGCCTTGATGGTCAGTCATTCCAGTTTTGTGTTTTAGAAACCCAGATGGAGACCTCAAGCCCTGGTGTTTCGTTAAGGTGAACAGCGAAAAGGTGAAATGGGAATACTGTGATATCCCAGTCTGTCCAGTCCCAGGTAAGTCTGCGGCTACCCAGAGGGCTCTGGAGAGAAGCAGTGATATTCCTGGCACTCAACCACTCCTGCCTTACACACCCTTGACCCTTGCCTACACACCTCCATATCACCCCTCCCAGTCCTCTGAAGCCCTCAGGATGATGAGATAGCCTCAACACTTCTGTCAGCTCAGGTTAGCTCTAAAACTTTCCCAACCCAGGTGAGTGTCCTTGGCATTGGTTCCTGTGCCCATCTATCTGACCAATGGGATTCTTTCCCTGTTTCATTGTTCTATGGGTCCCCATAGAACAACCCATATCTGTTTTTGTCTATTTCTAACTATTCTTTGAAGGCTGGCCCAAGCATTCCTTCCTGTGACAAGTCCTCTTGGTCTCTGGAATTGGCTGTTATACCCCCCTCTATAAAACCTCAAGGAACTGAATGAGGTCATAGTCATGTAGCCTTTACGACTCTTTCCTTGCCACAGCTTTCTGGGTAAACCTCTTATGTCCCCCCTAATCTTAAAAAAAAAAAAAAAAAAAAAAGCCTGAAAACATGCATTACTGTGACACAGTATGCATGATACATGATGGGTTTATATATTTTGCATAGATATTTGTAGCTCCTAGGAGTAATAAGCTTCAAAATAGCACCATCTTTATCATGAATTCCATGAACTTGCTTTATGTTAACTAAGTTATCCAACAATCTGTCGCTCACCAAACACCATGGTGGAGGTGTGTGGTCTCTCAGCTCTGGACACTTAGCTTGTGATCAGAGTCACGACTCCGGCTCTGTCCTCCCAAGGAACAGCTCGAGTGATTCATCTTCATGTGCCCCACAGCCACTGCTGACCCGGTGGGAAGCCTTCTGGAGCCTGCGATGGAGCTGCCAGGGTTTGCCTCCTGTGGGAAGACAGAGCTGGCGGAGCATGCAGTCAAGCGCATCTATGGGGGCTTGAAGAGCACAGCGGGCAAACACCCGTGGCAGGTGTCCCTGCAAACATCACTGCCACTGACCACCGCCATGCCCCAAGGCCACTTCTGTGGGGGAGCCCTGATCCACCCCTGCTGGGTGCTCACTGCAGCCCACTGTGTCGAGTAGGTATCCACAGGGAACAATGAGCAGCACGACTGAGGGGCAAACAGGCTCCCTTCCTGTCAAGCGATACCTCAGAAGTTTTGGCAGGACTGGAGCTGAGTGCACCAGAGGGGAAAGAACAGAGCCTTACATGAGAGAAATGAGAGGGGATATAGTTACCATGGCTTATCACAGCTGTTCCGGGTAGTTTACCATATATAACTAGCTACCAAGAGAGGACATGGCTTGTTTGCTTTAATTGTAATGTCCCTGAGGCCTTCGCTACAGAGGCCTTTCCATGTAGCAAGCATTTAGTAAGTATCTGTGGAAGGACAGACAGATTGTGCAGGGGACATCGGTCTAAGGAATGTTTAATGTCTTATCTAATGTCTCATTGAAAGAAGGCTGGTGAGTGGATTGAATTTGGGTCTGCCTTCTTCCGGAGTCTCTAGAGTCTACCCTGAATGTACAAAATAACCCATTATCAATGAACCTTTAGATCAGGAGTCCTCATTTATAACTTCAATGATTTCTGGGAGCTGAGAAATCATCACCTCTTCCAGATCCCCCAAGTTCATGGTCAGGGCTGGTCTCATGAACCCTGGCTTGAGAGGCAGCCTGCATATCTTCAAGTCTACACTATCCTCTGGGATTCTAGCGTGGTCCCCAAGAGCAACCAGACACATTAACATTAGCAGCTACACTTCAGCAGATTTGTTCAAGACTTCAATGGCTGACTTTCAGCCAAGCCCAGAGAGAAAAGAAGTCTCCCAAGAAACGTGAGATGAAACAAGTATATGCCTGAACTCTCCATGATGGAGTTCCCTTGCATTGTCTTATTTGTAAGACAGAGTTTTGTAAGGGAGCAAAGGATGAGGATGCTGAAGCTGAAGGTCAGGGCTTCGCCAAGGTCGAACGGCTTCCTAGGAGCATTGCTCCACTCATTTTCTGACCATCTTATTTTACTTTGAAGCATAAACATCAAGCATCTAAAAGTCGTGCTAGGAGACCAGGACCTGAAGAAGACAGAATTCCATGAGCAGACCTTCAGGGTGGAAAAGCTACTGAAGTACAGTCAGTACAATGAAAAAGATGAGATTCCCCACAATGACATTGGCAAGTATCCCCTGGGTCTTGTCTTGGTGGATTTCTCCACTGATAGAACTCTGGGGTTTGATTATAGAAAGCTCCTTTGACTATTTTTTTTAATCCCTTAGGGATCCTGGAATGTGCATAATTTATTTCAAAGCTTTTTATGTCTTGGGAGTGTATGATAGCATTGTTGATAACTGGGTAAAACTTTTCAATTAGAGGGGAGAGATGTGAAGAATATTACATCATGGAAAGCTTTCAGCCTTGAATCTCAGACCTCCTGCTTATTAGCTAGGATCCAGGATCCAGGCCATCTTTCCAAACTTTGGTTTTCTCTTCCATAAAATGGGGTCGCTGTTATACAGCCCCCAGCTGACTGTGCTGTGACACAGTATCTAAGTGCACACGCACGCCGCCTAACAGGGGCTGGGTGCAGGGGCAGTGCTGTTTGAGGCTGTTGGGTGCTCAGGTCTGTAGTGCTGTGCCCTATCCCTTCACGTTGTGGGGTTTTCTTCTCTCTTCCCCACTCTCCCTTCTTCCTTCCTCATCAATAGCCCCTTCCCATACAGCCTGCTTTTGAAATAAATGAATCAGGAATGGTTTTGAATCCAATTAGTTTCATTGACTGTTGGGTTCCCCATCTCTGGAAATTTTAATCATGAAATGTGGATGAAAACATTCCTCAATTGTGGGAGGAGCAGTGCGGCTTGCTAAGTCCAAAGCAAGATGAGACCAATACTTCTCTGACCAAGAGATGACATCACAGCAATCCCCCCACCCCTTATGTCTCTCATGCAGCTTTGCTCAAGTTAAAGCCAGCAGGTGGCCGCTGCGCTCTGGAATCCAAATATGTGAAGACAGTCTGTTTACCCAGCAGCCCCTTTCCCTCAGGGACTGAGTGCCACATCTCCGGCTGGGGTGTAACAGAAACAGGTGAGTCTGTCACGTGTTCTCCACCATCCAGAGAATAAAGGACCAAGGTCATCTGCCCTCATGCTCCTGAAACAAGTTCAAATGCATCATCAAAGGACGCATCTGCCTCGTTGTTCAGGCTCTAGTTGAAGGCAACCATTTGCATGGAGCTTTCCTCGTGAGCTCTGATCTCCACGGTGGTCCCTGGCCTCCTTTCTCCGGCACTGGGTGGACACCAGGGAAGACTCTCCTTCCCTAAGCAGACTGCAGAGGTGCTGGGCGTAGGGCTTGTTCGGACACTGTGGTGCTTGGCAGGCGCCTGTTCTTGCAGGAGAGTCTTGGTTTTCTTTCTGGCGCAGCTCACTTTTTACCTTTTTGATTGTCATTTTTGCACCCAGGGCTTGGATTATGTGCACCAAAATTATATCTTGAGTACAAAAGTTTAGAAGAGTATTTTTAAGTTTTTAACAAATACTCAAAATATATCACCTCCTACTAGTAGTACCCTTAACAATGGACAGCAAAAATCACTTTGAGTGGACTTCGATTCATGAAGAAAGAAACAGAATGTCTGTATGCATTTGCCAGAGGCTCGGGGGAAGGAAAACCTCTGACTAATTGGACTCAAGGTCAACCATGAACTTTTTTGTAGCTCTTTGTTGTAGTCCATCTAAGCTTTTCCTCTTTTGCTCTTCTTAATGGGGTCTGCTCAGCATGGTGATGTCTTGGTTGGGAAACCTATAGGCCTCAAATTAGAATGCTTTTATTTTTCACAAATAGCTCTTAAGATTTTATGTTCAAAGTCAAAGATGCTTTGATAAATTTCATTATCTTTAAGAAGAGGGTATCTTCTCTAGAAAGCAGATAATTTTCTGTGTCAGGGCACTTCAACTGACATACGTATGCATGAATCCACCTGTCCATCTGTCCTCTTCCTTCCATGCATCTGTGAAACCACCCATACATTCATCCATCAATTTCTTCAGGGCCTACTGTGTGTTGCCCTTTTGCTAGATACAAGAAATTCAAAGGTGGTTATGGGCCATCTCCATTTTCCTGAATTTACAATCAGGTTGAAAAGACAGAGAACTAAGCAGATGATTTGTCTAAATGTGGTCAGAATGGCTTTGAAAGTCTGCACAAATATGGGTGAGCAGGATGCCAGAAAGTGGCCCTGGTGCTGGAAGATAGGACATTTCTTCCCATCCTTTATAAAAACACTTTTCTCCCTGAACTGAGAGTTAGTGGCTTCTTAATAATGGTGAGTGCTAGCAGGGTGAGTATCACGCTGGTCTTCTTTATAGCGACTATTTTCTGTCCCACAGGAGAAGGGTCCCGCCAGCTCCTGGATGCTAAAGTCAAGCTGATTGCTAACCCTGTGTGCAACTCCCGCCAACTCTATGACCATACAATTGATGACAGTATGATCTGTGCAGGAAACCTTCAGAAGCCTGGATCAGATACTTGCCAGGTCAGAAACACCACATGGTGCTTGGAGGTAGAGGCTCCCTGAACCTCAGGCTGAACAGAGAGGCCTGTGATAGTTCTGGGATGGGAGCCAGAGTCGACAGGCCACCTGCCTCAGTGTTGAGTCGCAGGCAGGCAGACTTATCTGAGCCCACCTCAGGGTGGAGCAGCAGAGTAACCACAGCAGCATGGTGCTACGTTGCTGGGGTGAACCCTCCCAGCATCCTCTAAAGGAAATGTCAGCATCATGTCTTACAGAGGTCTGGAGACATTATCAAGGCCAAGAGCAACAGTGCACTAAGGGACAGGGCTGGAACCGGAACAGCCCGTGTGTGTGTAACACCAAGGCCTTTGCTGCTCTGCTCCACTGTGATAAAGGCACAGTCCCAGCTGCTGGGGTCCATGGAGAGTCAGAGGCACTCCCAGAGAAAGAGGAGGTGGTGATTCCGTCCACTCTATGCTAAGGGGACCTCAGGTCTCTGCCCTAAATCAAAGCCCATACCTCATCTAACTCAGGGTTCATGTCACATGGGAAACATAGCTCCTAGACTCCCAGGATCAGCTCTGTGTAGGCTTTCCCCTTGTCCTTCTGTGCTGCCCAACAGTCCTCAGAAATTCAGTACAGCCAAATTCTGGTCCTATTCCATGACAGAACCTCCTTGAAAAGGGACCCAACAACAACCAGGCAACTCAGAGCCCATTTGGGTTGGGCAACTGCAGCTTCTCTCCAGAGTCTGTGGTTCTATTTTGACCCTCTATTCCTCTCCAAGGGCCCATGGATAGGCACATACTCAGGATGGAAAGGAGCCAGTGGGCATGGTTTCCCTAAGCTTTTGGAATATGGGTGGGGCCACATGTTATTCAGTTCTCTAGAAAATCCAAAGGCTATCCTGAAAGGCTTTGGAAGCTGATAGCCACGGTTTTGAAGCCTGGTTCTGTCTTGTGTTCTGGGACCTTGATCAATCACTGAAAAGATTTGCCAGCTTCAGATACCTATAATGTGACTGTAAGATCACAAGGTACCAGCTGTGATTAGGTTGGGAGGGTGAAGTCATATGATAAAAGCTGTTAGTTGCAGTGACTAAGCAAGCTGGCTTCCTTACCACCTTCCTCCTGCCCATCTTTGCCCTGGTCTAAGCACTGCCTAAAGCGCCTTCACAAATCCTGCATCCACAGCTCACCACTGAAAAAGCAAGGCCTCAGCCAGCTGGTCAACATGCTAGGTTGAATAGGAATGCTCCCTCTGAGTCTCCGTCCTACACCTTGTGTGGGTCTATCCAAACAAACCATCACCTGCCTTGACCAGCTGCTAAGAGCATCTGAGGAACCCTGGGAATTGGCAGTGGAAGCATTATTTGCCCACAGCACTCCAGCTGCAGCCCCGGGTTGCAAGCTTTTTTCAAACTCAGGAACTGAAGCTGGTGTCAGCTTCTTTCCCTTTGGACCTGTGCATCACGGGATTCTTGAGAAGAGCCTTGGCACTGGTTTCCAGAGAAGCCCAGGGTAGCTAGCAGGCTTTGCTCCCTCACCCCCTCATAGGAGTTTCGGGACCTCTCTGAACCTAGTTCACAAGGCTGACCTCCATTTGCTCTTCCCTCAGGGTGACTCGGGAGGCCCTCTAACCTGTGAAAAGGATGGTACCTACTATGTCTATGGGATTGTAAGCTGGGGCCAGGAATGTGGGAAGAAGCCAGGTGTCTACACTCAAGTCACCAAGTTCCTGAAGTGGATAAAGACCACCATGCAGGGGGAGGCTGGCGTTTGAGGTGCTGTCCGCAGACCCTGGAAGCCCTTCTTCCTTAGCACCGGACAAGAGGGGTTTCCTGGGCAGCCTGGATGTGCTGGGGCAGTGCTCTGGACAGAGGTACTGCTGCCTAGCCTGGGCTGTTCCAGACTAAGCTTGCACCATTTCATGAGGCCCACTCTGAGCACCCCCACCCCAGAAACCAACAAGAAATCCACTACCTTCTCTCCCTCTAAAACACCAGAATTCAGAGACTGTCTTCACCATGGATACCAGCAAATGTGACACCCCTGAATGCCCAGCGCCAGGGATGGTACCTTGACCCTTACTCCTCCACCCCACCATCCCGGCAGGCCTCCACAGAACCAGCCAGTCTCACCCAGCCATCCGAGAGAAGCCCCCCAAAACACAAGCTCTTTTGTTTGCTTTCAGAGTTCTTGTTTTAATAAAGGCAGGTATGGGGATAGGAAGGGAGCGCCTTTGTTTAATCACTCATCCAGACCGCGGCCACACAGGCCTGTCTCCAGCACGAAGCCCTCTATGGCAGCTTCCCTCTTCAGAAGGCTCACATAGGCAGAGTCTTCTTCCTGTTGATGTGCAGGATCTCTGAGGCATCCGGGTTCACGTCCCTGCTCTGATGATCTCCAAGCTCCGTTGCCTCTGGCCCCACCTGCAGAAATCACACATACCCCCCTGAGTTCACACGAAGCCCCTCGCTGCTCCCACAAGCCGTGCTAAGATGCCCGGCAAACATCTAACACATTCGCCTCCCCTTCTTTGTCCTCTCTTCCACCCCACCCAAGAAAAAAAAGGACCCTCAAGGCAAAGATGAGAAAGAAACGAAGCCTGCGTCTCATTTAGATGTGGCGTCTCTCTTCTGAACAAAGTCGGGTTCAAAACGTAGACTGCTGGAGCCAGCGAGTCCCTGACCCTTCCCGTGCATGTAAGAGCAAGCAGTCAGCACGGCGTGGGCTGCCCAGGCCCGGGATTGATGTCGCCCTGCTAGCTTTGCCTCTGCAGAACTAATGGCTGTGACTTCAGAGGAAGCCCACAGGAAGTTTAACCCATGTGTCATCTGCCTGGTCATCTCAGACCCATGAAATTAGGCGCCTTGTTCAGCTGCCTTTCACGCTTCTTTAGAACTAGCTGACCTTTGGCCAAAAATAAACTTTGAAAAGCAACAATGAGTTTGTGCTTCCCGTGGTCTTGCTAGGCAGGGTGCTGTTGGCTGCTTGTTACTCACGCAAGCCCCCTGGAGCCCCAGGCCCCTCCTGTTGGCCAGTTCTGCTGCCCGCCGAGCCATCTCCACTTTGTAGGAGCCAGGAGGGGTCCAGCCAACACCTCGAGTCAGGTTCAAGTCAGATTTGTACTTGACCTTGGGGGAAGAAAGAAGTGAGAGGAATATGTCAATGGGATGGGGTGGTTTGACCACTGAGTGGGATTTAAAAGGCAGCAAGGAGACGCAGACCACATTGACATCATTAAAGGGGACAAAGGGCAGTCAGCTGATGCACAGAGAGCCTGGGGTCCAACAAGGCTGGCCATCGCTCAGCCACTCCTGAAATCTCCCGTCCTGATGGAGGGAGCCACTGTGCAAAAGCAGGGACACATGACTCAAGCCTAAGCTCCTATCTTAATGTGCTCTGTGCCCTTAGAAGACTCCCCTGCCGTCTCTGGGCTTCAGCTCCTTGCAAGGAAAAGTATGAAATGGGCGTAAGCAATTATTATGACCCCGTGGAAGTAGCAGAAAGAGCCAACAAGGGCAGAGCACCCACATTAGACAGCTGCTAAGAGGCAGAGCACTGGCCTGGCACACCTAAGGCCCGTGGCTCAAGCCTCGCACCAAGTAATGAATACTTGAGTTAAGAAAAACAGAAGTTGGGCTTTCATATCGAACACCCTAGGCCCGCCACTTATTTTCTGTGTGACCTTAGGTTGTCTAGCTTCTCTGGTCTTGGGTTCCTGTCTGTTAAAGAAGGCAGTGCCAAGACTGGAAGGGCCACACAGCAGAGCCCTTAGCATTCGTTACAGGTGTGTCACAGGCGGGACTGACTGGCACGCCACCTTCCCAGCCTCTCTCCGGGATGTAACAGGGACTGTGTGGAGGCAGCTCACATCACTCTGCAGTTGATGGGCCCTCTGTGCATGCTTCAGGCCCAGCTCCTCTGGGTCGCTGGTATGTTGGGGCAGTGGCTGCCTATAGCACACGCCACTGGCCAGCTGCTGACTCCTCTTGGCCTGGAGGAAGCCGGGTTGGTCAGCGCGGCTGTGGAACTGGGAGCAACTGTTGGCAAAGGCCTTCTTGTACTCATTGTCGCTCTGGAGCCTGCTGACACTGAGGAAATGCCGCATCCTTGGGTCATCGTTGACACTGCGGTACCCAATCTGCAAGCCCCGGTCCCTCAGGAACGCCTCTTTGTACCGGAACTGCAAGTGATAGAAGCCGAGAGGGCATGGGGATGCTCCTCCCTTTCAAAGCCGGCCTCCCCAGAGGGCCCAGACCCGGGACTTCAGCAGGAAGCTCAGCAGTGCATAGGGGGTAAGCTTTGGAGTCAAGTGAACCCAGCTGCATGGTCTTGGGCCAGCTGTGGAGCCTCTCTGAACATCAGATAAAAACGGGAAACTAAATATCCATCCTGTGGGATGCTGAGAGAAGTCAACGACGAGGGGCTGAAATTCAGTCTGTGCCCACTGATGATGTTCTGTCTGTGCACCCGTGACCTCAGGCGTGGTGGTGTGCACTTGCAGCCCTGTATGGCTGCTGTAACACTCCAGCAGGAGCAGGCGTGTATCATTCTTCCTTGTACTCTCCCCAGCCTCCAGGGACCTTGGCTAATGCTTCTCCAGTCACTTAGAGTGAAGAATCTAGTTCATTTTACGTAGTTACGTGTCCTCTTACTGTTCCTTGTATGTACGTATATGTGTGCATCTGTGGGCTGAGTGTGGGAACACGTGTGCCATAGTGCACTTGTAGAGGACAGAGGGAAACTTGGGGTGTCTGCCTTAGCCTTCCGCATTGCTTGAGATGAAGTCTCGTGTTAGCCACTGCATATGCCAGGCCTCCACACCTGGGGCTATGGGTATAGGCCTCCACACCTGGGGCCTCCACATCTGGGGCTACAGGTGCAGGCCTCCACATCTGGAGCTACATGGCATCTGTGAATTGAATGTCAGCCCTCATGCTTGCACAGAAGCAATTTCTCAAAGGTTCATTACTATAAATTAAGCAGACACAGAACCACAAATTCCTTGGCCTTTTGATGCTCCGGCCATCAACTGCTGTGTACCGCTCCTAAGAGAGCTGCTAAAACACACACACACACACACACACACACACACACACACACACACACACACA